GTTGTTCAAGCTCTCGGTCTTTCCAACTGCATCGTCTTCCGTCAAAGTTTTAATCGTCCTAATTTACGGTAGGTGGAAGTGTCTGTTTTTAAGCTACCAATGTTGGGGTATATGCTCCTTGATTTGCATTGACCATCTGCCACTATTTCAGATATTCTGTAATCCCAAAGACTAAGAAGATTTTGGAAGACATTGATACCTTCATAAGAGAAAATCATTTTGATGAATGTGGAATCATCTATTGTCTTTCTAGAATGGACTGTGAAAAAGTTGCTGAGAAGTTGCAGGTCAAAATCAATTTGTTTATTCTATTATTTTGTTCTTGTTTTCTATGGAAAATTAGTAGATTTTGATTTCCTTTAGAAAACCCAGAAAATTGAAATAAAAATCATTTTGTTAGCAATGTTTTTAGGTTCCAGTCCCCTAGCTACTTGAGTTGTGTGTCATTCTTAGGCAGGGACCATGCTAATTTTTTCATACTTTTATTCAATGTGAAATAATTGGACCTAGTCCATATTTTTACCCCTTATGCTTTTTCCTATGTCTGAAAGTGTATTTAGGTGGTCAAGCCCTTCCCTTGTTATTTAATATATTTTCAATTTATAGGCAGCTTACACGTTTGAACATATTCAACTTAAGCAGATAAAATCATTAGTGTGTCACTGTGTCCTGACATCCTGTACAGCCAATGAATAATTTCAAAACTACTACTGTTACATAAGTGTATATATATAATGGGTTAGAGTCTTGTCCAATACTCCCTTGGCCTCATAAAATTCTTTACACTATCCTTTTTGGACGTCCCAAAAAAAAGCTTTACACTTTATTCTCTATGTTGGTAATGATTATGTGGCTACCAACAGTTCTCTCTCTTCTAAACAAATTCTAGCCGCACGCTTTACTTATCAACAACTTTCTTAAACTCCGTGAAGTCAAACTGTCAGAACTTTATGGGATGGAGGGAGTGAATTAAATATGAACCCTACGAAAGTGGCATCCTAAAGTTCTCTAACTAAATCAATTGGAAGCAACTAAATCAGGGGAGTTGACATTGGATGACATATGAAGAATGCTTCCGAACTTTTCTTGATATGAATTGAAAAACTGTTTTGGTTTCTTCAGAGTTTAGTTTCTCTTGTTCCAGATTATACACTATATATATGTGTATATGTGTGTGTGTGTGTGTGTGTATATATATATTTGTGTGTGTGTGTGTGTTTGTTAATAAATACGTAATATAACATAGATCTTCATATATGCTGACCTGCATTATGCTATAAAATTGGACGTGTTTTAAATTTCAATATTCAGGAATATGGGCACAAAGCAGCATTTTACCATGGCAATATGGATGCTCCTCAGCGTGCCTATGTGCAGAAACAATGGAGTAAAGACGAGATCAATATCATTTGTGCAACTGTTGCATTTGGAATGGGTAAGCTTTACTTTGACTATTTATAAAGCCGTTTCCAATGCTCTTACAATGCAAGCTAATACAACGTGGGGAATGCATTTTAGGCATCAACAAGCCAGATGTACGGTTTGTCATTCATCATTCACTGCCAAAATCTATTGAAGGCTATCATCAGGTGGTTATTAATTCGTCAACCCAGACTATTTTTATTTTAAATATATATGAAAAGTTTAAGCATTATAATTTTCTGTTTGATTAGTTATAAAAAGATGTCCTTGTAATATATTATGACATTGCCATGTTGCAGGAGTGTGGTCGTGCTGGAAGAGATGGCCAATCTTCATCTTGTGTGTTGTATTACAACTACAGTGATTATGTATTGATCCTTTTTTGTGTGTGTTAGTGTGTGCGTTTTCTTTTGTTTCCTTGAGTTTATTCGTAGTGGTATTTCTATGCTGCACTTGGAACATAATTTATTCTTCTGTAGATAAGGGTGAAGCATATGATTAGCCAATGCCCTATAGAACAGAGCTCTTTCACACCTGGTTACGGCCGTTCCAGCATGGCAACCTCTGGGAAGATACTAGAAACAAACACTGAAAATCTTTTGCGAATGGTATGTGATTGAATTTTTTTTGTTTTAAGTATGTATTCTAATTTCTCTTGATGTGTAAGAGCAGTATATGGCATTATTTTCAGGTTAGCTACTGTGAGAATGATGCTGATTGTAGACGCTACCTTCAACTTGTTCATTTTGGTGAAAAGTTTGATTCTGTCAATTGTATGAAAACTTGTGACAATTGTTCAAAATGTCAGAGCTGCATTGACAAGGATGTTACTGGAACTGCAAAACAATTAGTTATGACACAGCTCAATATCTCTTCATTTAGTTCATCATTATAACTTAATTTAACATCCTTCTTTCCAATGGTTAGGTCGAGCTAGTGAAGATGACTGGACAACAGTTTTCATCAGCTCATATATTGGAAGTTTTTAGGGGTTCCTTGAACCAATTTGTATGATCTGGTTGCAAATAATTTTTTCTTATTCAGATTTTATTTCATAACACATATCTAATTTGCTGTTACCCTCTTACCTGGGCTAGGTCAAGAAACATAGACATGATATATTGAGCATGCATGGAGCTGGAAAACATTTAGCAAAAGGTGAAGCATCCCGAGTGTTGCGTTACCTTGTTACTGAAGATATTTTAATGGAGGAGGTTAAGAAAAGTGATACATATGGATCTGTATCATCAGTTTTGAAGGTATGATATTAGTTCTTTTTGGCATCTAAACAGCGTTGAACTAGGCATCTATCATTGCATCAAACCCTTTTAGAATCACTAAAGACTTTGCTTTTTGTTACAACTTACAAGTTCTTCAACCACTTTATGTAGGCAAGTCCTCAAAAAAATTCCCTGGTAAAACAACAAATTCTAATTTTGAATGCAGGATCTCTTTTCGAATACCAGATTCAGATTTGGATCCGAATCTGAATCCGCTATGAATGAGTTGGATTGGAATTGGATCTGTGTCTGATTTTGTGTAGTTATCATTGTTTATTTCTGTTGTTGTTGTTGTTGTTGTTATTATTATTATTATTATTATTATTATTATTATTATTATTATTATTATTATTATTATTATTATTATTATTACACACACACACTTAATCACAATGGGTCCGGGTCTGGATCTAGCCCGTTGACAGGGCTAACTCTATGGAGTCTGTCATAAAAAGTAGAGCCAACAAATTTGTTGATCGTTATAAATGCTTACATATTTAAATCAACAGCAGAGTCAAACAAATTGCAAAGCTACAGAACAAGTGTAGATAGAAAAATCCCCATGCAAGGGTATTCAGACCTGTGTGTCCACATGACCAATGCCTTTTAAATCTACATATATTAATTTTTTTCCCTTCAAAAGAAATCCTATTGTCATTGCCATCCTGCTTTCAGGTGAATCAACTCAAAGCAAATATTCTCTTTGCCCCTGGGCATATAGTCAAATTAAGGTACGTTTTTGTGTTGTTTGCTTATACTTTGTGTTAGTTAGCATACTACATATTCCTGTAGCATATATCCAGTTCAACTAAAGTAGCATAATAGACAAGAATGGATATTTACATGTCATGGTACGTGCTAGTGGATCTTCCTTTTCTCAGATCCCTCTCCTAAACTTGTACTACCACGAAACAAAAGTGAAAATTGAATATCATGCATGAGCCGATGTATTTGTTTTGCAGAGTCCCATTGGCTGCCAATGCAAGTAAGCCGGGTAAAGCAGGAATGACTCCTGCAAAATGCACACTATTATCAACAAATCAATCCGAAAATCAATCTGAGGATGATCTGGTATGCTTGTGATTGGTTGTGAATACATGGATCCTTTTAATATTTCATGCCTTTATTTATCATAAGAGTTAAGGTGTTTTACTCTTTTTTTCAATGTAATGTTTATGTAGAACCTGTCAGCCAAACTGTATAATGCACTACGGATGCTTCGAACTACTCTTATCAAGGAAGCAGGAGAGGGAGTCCTGGCTTACCATATATTTGCGTAATCACAGTTTTCACTCATTGTTCAGCATAACAATACATCTTAGCATTTGAACCTCTGGAATAGACTCCCCCACCCCCCACAAACACACACACACACACCAAACGAACAACAACAATAATAATGAAACGGAGTAACAACAACAACAACAATTCCGTAGATGGCCCAACCAAACTGGTTTCATAATATGACATTGAAACTTAACGTCAAGAGATCCTTGCCGAATAAATACTAATATAATGATGATGATGTTTATCTCCAACAAGAGCCTACTTTTTGTGGGGTTCTACGGGGTTGTTTTAATGACAATCTCCAACTCCCTTTAAACGTATATCGCTTTAAACATACATCACTTAAGCACGATTCAAAGCAATGAAGATCCTCCCCCCCCCCAGCAGTTTCCACCATGCCTGCTAACTATTGATTGTCTGTGTTGAATATTGATTATAATTGTATATACCTGATAAAACAGCTTTTGTCTGGCATGTGTAGAAATAATACGTTGCAACAAATGAGCAAGAGGATACCCAGGAACAAGGATGAGCTGCTAGAAGTTAGCGGCATTGGCAAGTAAGTTTCCGACACTTGCAAAAAGTTATTTTTTATTGCTGCGCATCACATTAAGATATGTCACTGAGCATATGTGGGGGATACTCAAATCAGGGCTAAGGTAACTAAATATGGGGATCGGCTTTTGGAAACAATAGAGGCTACTATCAAGGCCCACTCCAAGGGTGATGGAAACAGTGGTAGTAGCAATGGGAGTCCGGATTCGGGCAAGAGAAAAGGAGACAATGACTTTGTCGAGAGTACAGCACGCTCTAAGAAACGGGTTCCCAAAAAGCTTTGCAAACCTAAGCAGGTGGCCACGATGACAACGACGACTGACTACATAGAACTTGGATACTATGATGATTTTATGGATACTGATTTCGAGGAAAACTTTGACCCCCAAATCAATGGCTCCATTGCAAAAGCCAATGGTGAGGCAGGAAGAGTTCTACCTCCATGGGGATAAAAAAAGAGCTGCATGGTTTCGATCTGATCTCTATTTTTGTAGTGTTATGTGTTGGTTTTATTGTGTTCTGAAAAAGTCAGGGAAGCATTCAGTATGACATTACATTTTTCAAAACCATGCCTAACAACACCATAGCTCACGGTTAAATCTCGGCATTGAGTTTGCACGACGTTGGGTACCATTCTAGTCTATTGTGCTTGGTTCATTAGTGTAGTTGTATTGTTTTTTTCCAGCATTGAAAATTGTCTTCAATGTAATTTTATTAAAGTTAGCGATAACAAAATAGAACTTGTACATCTCTAAGAATAGAATAGAATTGTCGTATTTAAAGCAAAATGTTGAAGTTCACTCTTTTTGGAATAGAATGTTGCGAATTTAAGAATAGAATGTTAAAGCAAAATGTTATGACATGTTGAAGTTCACTCTTTTTTGGATAAATTTTTAGAGTTATGAAGGTTGGCTTGAGTATTACAAATATTTTTCTTTTATTTTTCATAATAATAACAACAACAATAATAATTCACTTGTTTTAATTTAAATTATCTGTTTTGTTTTACAATGTCGAAGCCATTTTTAATACGACAATAATACTATTGAAAACAATACTTTCACTGTTTCCAAAAAGGCTATTGATTTGGTTTGGTACAAAACTTAAAAGGACAAATTAGATTACTGTCAAGAATACTCACTACTTATATATATACGAGGGAATGCCATCCGGTCCGTCAAGTCCGGTTCGCCCTACTACAAGCTACTGTTGATTCCATCTGTTCTGGGTTCTGGCTGGTATGGCATCTAAGATATACGAGGGAAGTTAGATCTAAATTAATGACCTCTCAAGTGGGTGCACTGTTTTCTTGATTCCTAGAACCCAATCCGGTCTTTTTTTGTGAGCAATGCTAGATTCACAAACAGGATATTCACAAACTTCACAAACTTACTATTTATGGATTAAATTTTCATTTTAAAATTATTTTAGACTATTTAATTTTATTTATTGAAATTCACAAATAGTAAGTTTGTAAACTTTGTGATCATTTTGTTTGTGAATCAAGCATTTCCTTTTTTTTTGTTTTTTTGCTTCCATGTGTATGTTGCATTTTAGAACTTAATTGTGTCTCCCTTACACTATGTTTGGTTCGAGGAATTTTGAAGGAAAAGAAAAGAAAATGGTTTTCTCTCATTTTCCTCACCAAAATGGGACGAATTTGGTTTTTCCTCCACTTGGTACATTTTGTCTTCTCATTCTCTTTTCCTTCCACTTTTCTTTTCTAACCAAACAAGAAAACTTGTTTTCCACTTCATTTTCTTTTCTTTTCTCTTTTGAATTCCTTGAACAAAACATAGTGTTAGTGTTTTGAAGAATGACATTCGTAATAAATTTCACTCTAGGCTCCACTGTTTTTACCTTTTGCCATTGTAAGTAAAAAAAAAACTGTTTATAAATTTGAGACCTATAGATTAAAATTTAAGTACACAAATAACAAGTTTGTGATCAAGATGTTTAGGGTCCATTTGAATATCATGAATTTTCTCATTATTTGGAAACAAAACTCATAGGAAATTTGGGAACTATTTAAAAACAAAAACTTAAAAACATCGCGTGCATTCGTTTTTTCGTATTATTGACTCGATTACAAAGTAACATTTGTTCGCACTTTTTCTCAACTTAATGATGTAAAGATTCGATTGCCTTCCTCATTGATCTTAGGAAATAAGCTTCTTACCAATCAAGCTGTTATTCTCTAGTATTCATCTAGTTAAATGAAAACTTAACAAATTAAATTACTCCGTACTTCGTATAGGGAGGAAAGGCAATGGTAAATCTAGTAGTCTGTACATATATCTAGGTCACATAAAAGGGAATTGAAGTAGGTGTTTATGCGGTAAAATTTAAAAAAACACGAGTGCGACGACGCCTTAAAGCGCTAAATACAGAAAATGACATGCATATTTAAAATTATACCTCAAAACGTATATTATTACCAAACAAAAGTTACACGCCTATTTTTTATCTTTTTATTTCCAATAATAGTGATATATTTCTTCACTAGAGTGTTAGCATTATTATTTTTTGCACCAGAAACAGTAACATCTTGATAAATATCTTCCTCCCTCATTATTCCCAAGCAGCAAATTAAAAAAAAAATGAATAATTTACAAAATGAGCTTCCATTACTTTGTTTTGAACGAAACAAAGCGAAATTTAGAAGTTCAAAACAATATCAAAATGCCTCTCATCACTTTTGAAGGCCAGAGTCTTCATATTTTTTTAAAACAGGGTAGAAATACTTTAAAATTTCTAAAAAGAAGGGAAATAGAAATTGCTTTTAGTATCTTACAACAATTTATAAAAAGAAATAAAGAAATATCTTAATGGTGCGGAGTCTCACGAAAAAAGAGAAAGAAAAAACGTTAAAGTATGCATGCAATGGGAGTCTAAGAAAACAACGAACTTTAAATTTTTAGTTTATTACTAGTATAACAAGTTTTCATGGAGAGGGAAAAAAGTTAAATGAAGAGAAGGTCTCACAACACGAGTGCAAAGAAAAGTATCAAATTTGCTTTACTTGAAATCTCTCACAGCATCAACGTGAGGATTGAAAATTGAGATGGAGCAGGAACCATATATAATACCCTATTTAAAACATAGAAAAAAGAACGTACTTTTTTTGAGTAAAGAAAAAATGATTAGTGCATGCAAATGGTTTGAGTGATTATTTTAGTGTGTTATGACTTATGACGTTGAAGTTCTTTTTCTTTATAAAAAAAAAATTCATTGTTACGAAGGTTCGCTTGAGTATTACAAATATTTTTATTTTATTTTTCCTAATAATAATAGAGTAGCTAGGTATGCACCCTAAACTAGAGGAGTTAGTTGTTTTTCTGTGGTTTTGAGATTGACATACAAAATGTAAATCTTTTTACATTTTTTTTGGGGCTGCAAGCAGATTTTTAAGGAGATGCCTTCCGGGGCAAACATCATATCGGAAGAGAGTAAGCTTCCATTCTTCCCAAACATCACTTGCTAAAAAAATCCCACTTCAACAACCACCAAACCAAATTTACAAGCTCCACTCATTGTCATCCATTTACAAGCAACTTCTAATTTATTTTCTCTCTGTGACTGTTTGGTCGGATCTGTAGGGCTCTCGGGGATAAGGCCCGTCCTTTTCTTTAACATTATATTCAGATTTAATTAAGCTAAAAAACACATGCGATTCAAACTAAGTTTATAGCTTTTCAAACGAATAATGCTAGGCAATATTCCACTACCACTAGTTCCAAATCAGCAGTCATTAAACGTCACATTAACGCTGACTACACTCACAATCTCACTCACTTCATACATATGTCTCACTTAGCTTCCACTGTAATGATTACACTTTTATTTTTTATTTAAAGTGTGATCATGTTGTCATTAGAGTATGATCATTTTGTCGGATTTGATTGATTCTGGTCTAATTTTATTGAGATCTGATATAGTTCTAGTTATATTAAAAGTACTAAAATTGCTTCTGAAATGATGTTATTTCAATAAACATAAATAATAAGTAAAAAATAAATTGAATATAATATGGTCCATGTGTCTTATCTACTATGGTGTGTAAAGAAAATATGACTTAAACTTATTAAAAAAGAAAAAAAAGAAAATACATAAAAAGTTTATTTTATGGTAGTAATGGTCCACTTTCGATATTTTCAATTTTTATTTTTGAGAATCTGTCCTATACTATTATGAAAACAATTCAATTTGGTTCAAAATGAATTTACTTAAACCATTTAAAAACGCATTTTTCGATCTGGTACAATGTCTCTCCGATTCAGAATAATACTAGGGTATTTTTGTTTGCCTCTAATTGCACACACACTCTCTCTTTCAGAATGTTTGTCATATTACGTAAAAATGAAATGAATACTCAATTTTTTAAAATTTATTTTATTTAAATATTACGGAGTAGTATAAAAATTTAAAATAAAATTTAGATATTTTAATATTACTTCAAAACTTATTTAAAAAATTGTGAAAAACTATTTTATTCTATGAAATAATTGATTAAAATGTACAAATAAATATTTATTAATGTGATTTTTAGAGGGAGTCTATTTAAAGGATCAGCCGCATCCCCAAACAGTGGAATATATGCTTGATACTTGCAGAGATCATATGTTTAACATAATCGCTTCTCAATGCAATTACTAAGAATCAAACTCAAATATTACTCCTTGACACTTTTTGTCTTGGCAACTGCGCAACGACCAATGGTTAGAGGGCCACCAATTAGAGGGAGTGTATTAAGAAAGGAGCATGCTATATGTACCCCAAAATTTGTACTTCATTTGTAGACCTAAAATATGGTTCACACTGACATAAAGTGTTGGTGCGTCAACAAAAAATTACATTAACATAAAGTGTTGGTGAATTAACAAAAATTAACATTATACCAACATAATATATGGATGCATCCATGAGATTTCCTAATGGGATAGATATAGCTTTCTCCGTTAAGAAATGACCAGAGCAGAGTGTGGTGGGTCCCCTTCCTTACCCACGCGTCATCATCATACGGAGCGAACCATTGCGCCCAGCGATTCGCCACTTCCGGTCCACCGCCTCAACACCTCCGCCGTATCCGTCGTCTTTTCGTACGGATAAACTCCTCACCGCAATAGTACGCCCACGACTTGCTGCCATTTCCCTCCCTCCACTCTTTGCGTGCTCCTATTTCTACTTCTGCCACTATATATGATCCAGTGAATTCGTCTCAAAGTTCGCCGGCTGATGTATAATGCGGAGGAGCTAACCTCGGTGCTTTGAGAAAGAGAGAGGGAGAGAGATGATAGAACAAAGCTCGCGTGGTTCAGAAATGGCGGAAGTAGAAAAGGATAGGAAGGAGAAGCCGCCGGAGGACGACTGTTGCCCAATTTGCTTCGGCGACTTCGCCGCTGCTTGCAGGACCGATTGCGGCCACTGGTATTGCGGTATTAAATTGTTGCTATTTTCTAACTGTGGTTTTATTCTGTAGATTGCTTCTATATTATTGATTTGAGCTAATTATTTACCCTTTTTTGAAATTGGGAATGTTCTTCTTCATCTTCTTTATTCAATTATCTGTAAGAGCAATTTTCACTCCCTATTAATCACACCAAGTAGTGGTTACTCAATCTCTTACTTTTTAAGCTTAAAGGCAACGTGAAATGCTTCAATATCGGTTAGTCTCTTCTGTTTAAAGATGGCCAGATTGGTAAGGCGAGGTGACTGTAAATATGTAAATAAGCTTCTGAAATTAGCATTTCATGTGGTAATAGTTATGTATACACAAGGTGAATTCACAGGAGAAAGTAATCATCTCACAAATACACATCTCCACTCTCCAGAATGTATCACTCTTACTTGCACTTTACACAAGTTGAAATCACAGGAGAAAGTAATCATCTCACAAATACAAATCTCCACTCTCCAGAATGTATCACTCTTACTTGCACTTTGCAATTCCATGCAAATAAGATGTCAGTTCTTCCCTTTGGCTTGTGTTTGTGTGTTGAACATTCTGTTTCTCCAATCACAGGAAATTGCATTCTGCAGCTGTGGAAGTTTAGAGGGGCACTTAGAGCGTGCAAGTGTCCCATTTGCACTTGCTTCATCACCAAGCTTACACCAGAGGCATCGTTGTTTTCTCAACAGGAGAAGGAAGTTGTTGACCTCCTGAAGGGCATTCACCGCTACAATCGCCTCTATGAAGGTGGAATGCGTGGGATTGCATTGGTATGTTTTCTAAGAGTGAGTTTTCCGAACCCATTTTTGTCAATACCTAGTTTATTCTGTTTAGCATTAATATATGGTCTAATGATCTGTCTCTGTTTCTTCCCCACAGAAAACACCTTTGTTTCTTAGGAGTGTCTTATGGGCACTTATGGATGTGCTTTTGGATCCTCGTCAACTCAGTTTAAACTATAACATGATGCGTTTTGTGGCTGTAAGTGCGAACATATGTTCTTTATGCATTTGTTTTTTTGATTAAATTCTGCTGCTAGTGTTGTCAATGTCGTGTGATATGATATATATTGAAGTGGATTTTCTTAGCCCTTGTTTGGTTGGAGGACTTCGACGGTAAAGGGCAGGAGCTGGGGAAGAAGCTATATTTATTTTATCAATTTATTCTTACATTTTGATGGTTGCATGATAGTGAAAATAAAACTTTATAATTATACTTTGTATATGCAAACACACGATTTAACAAAAAGCATCTTCTCCATCCCCAAAAATGTCATGTTTGATTGAGCCAACTTTTTATTTTTGAGTCAACTTAATTGAGGTACCAGCTATAACAAAATGTCAATATTCAGTAATACCCCTCAAATGCCATTTGAGAGATTATGTGGAGTACTTGACTTGACGCTTGTTGTACATAAATTTTGCTTAAAATGGATAGTACATTCAAAGTTGGACTATTTTTTTGGGAATTCTTGAATGTGACTCATTTTTTGGTATGGAGCAACTAATTTTCTAGTAACCGTGCAAGCTCTTGGACCAAGGACATCAAGTTTCGAGATCAGCCTGCCCAACTTGGCGTCTTTACAGAAAACCAACACATTGAGTTTGAGTGCCAAGAATTGATGTCTTGAACCCTTTTTACCCATTGATTCAAACCTGACCGAAGAATGAAAGCTATGATTCTCTGGTGTTTATGTTAGCTGGTTCTAGAAACCGCAGTTAATCTCTAGATACTAAAGTGTTTATATTGCAGCTTTTGGTTGGTTGGATCTATAGCAAATGCCACATGGATTTCATCCCAACTGGTGATTTTCTAGGCTCAACTTGACAATAGTTATGGATTAATGTAGAATGCATCAGAGTTTTATATGAGAGATGAGTATATATATGTGCCTTGCAGGTAGGCTGGGAATATATGCAGTGTTAGATACATGTGCTGTGTTTTTTGTCGTCCTTATGTTTTCCATTGGCTTATACCGGAAATGGCTTCGCGGGCGACGTGTAAGGAGGTTTGCTATGGAGCAACAAGCTGTTGGAATTGATTAAAACGACAAATTCACAACATTAACCATAACACCCTTCAAATGTGTAATTGGTTGTCGTTGGCTCTTCATTTTGTAGCGCTTAGCACGTGAAAGAGCAGCTTGAAGCTTCTATCCTTTCTCTCTGTATCATATGAACTGAAACATATAGATGCTCGCTATCCCCCCCAAAACTTCAGACGTGTTTGGTTGCGTGATTTTACATGTACAAAATGATGTTTGGATGGCGGTGTTAAGATGCTTGTATGCAACCAGAATTTGTGAATCTTGTTCCCAGATTAAGGTTCATTCTTTTCTAGTGAACCTTGCTAAAATTTTGTACTCCTTATTTAACTTCTTGGTAGTAATGTATGCCACTTTATGACAATACCTTGAAAAAGTATAAATATAATTTTAGTGCGTTTTATTTAACGTAATAAAACCATATTTAATATTTGCATTTTATATCTTAATTACTCACCAAATATTGTGATTGTGATTGCATTTCATTTCTTTTTTTCTCCAAACATTTTTTTCAAGATTTTAATATCATTTCTTCTTGATTTCTAAACTCATATCTTATCATATCTCTAGAATCATAGTTTAATGAACAACCTATGAAATGTTCTTTTGAATTTCTTTGCCCCAAAATAAGTTCTCTTTAGAATTATTTTTTACCGCATAATTTATTTTTCTAAAATTTTGTAAATGGTCAAATTATGACTCTTCTTTGGGATGGATATAGTACATAAGATGTGAGATACAATTCACTTGTTCCAAAAGATGAAATTGCTTACTCTGATGTAAGGAGGGATTCTCACAATGTCGCTAGTGAAACTCGATTCTTGATATCTTGTTCTATATTTCACTTCTGAGACTCCTTAATTTAGGCAATTTAGATAACGAATCGTGTGGAGTTGGCTCTTTAATTATTTAAATACATAGAAGTGTTGCCCTGATCCTTGCAATACAAAGGGAAAGACCTCAAGATCCAAAGCTCATGATGTAACCGCACAAATGATCCTTGCAATACAAAGGGAAAGACCTCAAGATCCGAAGCTCATGATGGAACCGCACAAAAGATTTATAATTCTCTTCTCGGTATATATTAAGGGCCGCTAGGGTACACCAAAATAGTATTATCTCATTTGTACACCAAGCAAATGCTGACACTAAGTGTATGTGATCACAGGATCACAGATAGTGTCAGTGTTTTCCTGGTGCACAAATGAAATACACATTGGTTACTTTTACAAATTGTTAATAATATAAACACAACTTATATATATACATCCCCGAGTTGAGTTTCGCCTAGAAGACGGTGGCCATATAAAGAGGAACAGAGTTCCCTGCTCCTCTCGCCCTCTTTTTCTTGTGCTCTTTTTGCTTCATTCAGAGATTTTGCAGAACAAATTATTTACACAGCACTACTGATAATAATAATAATAATGTTATTATTAACATTATTTACATGATTTGTTTTATTACAGAACAATTTATTTACAAACTACAAATATACAACCGATCAAGTTCATGCATGTATTATGATATATATTTACTCCCTACTGCACAGACACACACAAATGAATGTGACAACAAACTTAATTCACATTTCTTCTACTAAACAAGCATACCAAGGGCCATGAACGTTTACCGTCACAGAAGCTACCACCAGTAAAACCCCTGCCGCGGCCACCAAATCATCAATCAGAGCCTTTGCCCCTACCTGGCGGAGGGCATTTTCGGCCAATCTTATCCCTTCGTCCCTCCCACCTCCCAGTAACACTTCTCTTGCAGCTAGGCGCACGGCGCGGGCCATACGGACAAAGACCGGGTCATCTTCCTGCAGGCTTTTGGACAGCATCCTGCCTGTTATGTTCTTCATGGACTGAAGCTTTGTGGTGTCCACGCAGTTTGCGTCTTCCAGTACTTGGGACAGTGTCTCAATGATGTCTCCAATGCCTGCAGTGTCCTTAACAGGGTCCAATAGTTCAGATAACCGTTTCACGCTGCTTAGTGTTACCTTGTCCATATCTGCTGGGCTTCCAACCATTTGTAAACTCACAAGTGTCTGCCGTAACACTAGAGTGCTGCACGTATATAGCCAAAAGTTCACGTTTGTGGTTGAAAGACCAGAAAAGTTTTATACTTAACAGAAACCAAATCTACCAAAACCTCAAGTTTATGGTTGTATGACGATAAAATGTTACCTAGTAGCAATCACAATAATCTTTTGAATGGTTGCTTGAATGCCCTTCAGCCTGAAGAGATTGAGTTTAAGAGTTTCGGGCAGCCTTTCTTGAGTTAGACCAGTTATCTCATTCACCAATTTCAACAGTCCAAGCCTCACCAGTAAATCAATCTTGTTTCCATTGCATTCTGAAGAAGGAAAATTATAACAAGAAAGACTACATTGCATTATTACAGATTGGCACAGCAGTAGAGTTCTAATTTCCAAGCATCAAAATTCAGAAGTACCTTTTAAATCCAGTGGATTAACTGAAGAAGCCAAATCCGGGTTTCCTGTGGTTTTGATGACGAAGCTTCCTCCAGTTCGAAGCGAGGTAGGTGGAACATAAGTGTGGAATGAGCTATCTTGTCCTCTCAAATCAGTTAACAAATCTTTGTGTTCATTCCATTCCTGATCCATGGTATCCATTAGAGGCAGCAGCCACTGCTTTGTCAAGGGTAAGAAAGTAATTGCATCAGAGGGAGGCCCATAATGCTTGGCAAAAGCTTTCCCCAGATAATCAAAACATGCTGCCCCCTTCAAAGCTGGTTCCAGCATTCTAATGCGTGCTTTGCTAACCTCTTCCTTCAATTCCTGCCAGGGCGAAAAAACAACATTCGACTATAGAACAAAATATATAAAAAGAATTTTATTGGACATAAGGTTCTTAACTTCTTACCTGGATTTTTTCTAACACAAAGCGCAAACCCTTTATCAATGCAAAGATAAGTCGATTGTCTGAGCCATCATCCTCGGCCTGACAAATCTCAGCCAATTCTGCCATCAACTTCTGGTGACATGTCTTTAGCTCATCCTCCTTTGCAGGGGCAGCCAGTTTCAGTATAATACCCAGCAAGTACTCCATTATCCTTCCAAAATAAGCTATGTCCAGCTTCCCAGAACTTGTAACCTGAGATGGCAGTTGGGGGGATTGGAGTGGATTTGTCACAGTTCTTTTTTAAAGAAAACTAAAAAAGCGAAATTTTCATCACCAGAGACCTGAAAAAGAATGTCCAGATCAATAGCTTCAGTAATATCTTGTCTCCAACTCTGAGGAGCCATATTGCAGAGTTCCTCCCTTGCCTCTCTTATCAGGTCAACAGTACAGCTATAGTTAGCTTTCTCCTTCATGGAATCCATGATATTGTTCCAAAATGCCTTCTCTAATGTCTCTTTTACCTTTGCCTGCATAGTAGCATAACAATGACCAATTCAACGACAATATACTAAATACCAGATTTAGTCACTCAACTACTTTTGCAAATACTCAATGTAAATGGAGTAAACTGGGAATTAACCGTAGCAAATACTCCACGCATACGAGGTGGCCAAAAGAACACTAACCTTGATACCAGCTTCAAGCACATTTCTAGGAGTATCAGCAAACTCAAGATGATGGCCATGCACACATTCATTCACAATCAACTCATTCTCGAAATCCAACCCCTTGCCGGAGCGTGCATACACACTAGATCCCTTTGAATCAGGTTCATCCTTAAACAAGGACCTCACCACACGGCTCGAAGTCAGACTACCAGCCTCTGAAAATTGGGAATCTTCTACTGTTTTCCCCACGGAAGATGAGGAGGGACTTTGAGAGGCCAGGGATCCACTTTCTATAGCCTGGAAATACTTTTGGCGTGTTTCCGAGAGTGCATTTTCCATGCGCTCTATACCGGCACCTCCGCTCAGATTATGTACTTTCTCTCTCAAAAGTCTCTGGTCTTCAATAACCTGCATCACACAAGACTTTAGGCCCAATTTAAATACCATCCTAACACTATTCCTCCATGATTCTCATGCACTTGTTTAAGATTTTTTTTTTTTACTTCAAGAACAATGAGAAGTTCAGAAGTTGGCATACCTGCTTCTGGACGGCCTTCATATCATGTGTAAGAGGTGGACCACCATCACCATCAGGAGTCATCTTACAACACTGAATCATAGAGATTTCAAGCTGACAAGCAACTCTCACCAAATCCTTCTCCAGAGATTGAGCATCTTTAACCTTCCACACCACAAAGTTACTCAAATAAGAGCACCATGCAGAATCAAAAATTGCAAGCTGCGACCTGAAGGTTTTAAGACCTACTGTAGACTCATCAGAGTTCTGTATAGGCCCATTTAATATTATTCTGGTCAACAATTCAAACTCCTGGATAAATTTCTCTGCAGATGTGGTAAGAGCAACCTCTCGCACACCTTGACCACTTAGAACAGCATCAGGATGACCCAATATCATATAAGCACAGAGCACAACTCTCACCTGATAACGTGACAACTTAACAGCAGTTCTTGTAGGTTTTTTACAAGAATCCATTTTCTTTGTGCCCATGGATTTCTTTCTTGGTCTGGTCACTTTTTTAGGGGAAGCAACACGCTTGAGGAGGTGATCAATGTCAACATTTAAACTAGAGCCATTAGAGTTGCTGGCAAGCTCGCGTGACAGCTTATTTCTCAATTCAAGACGATCTAGCAATGCCTTAGTTGTCTGAAGAGTGTCACTAGATTCAATGAGAAGTGCAAGCTGCTCAAATGGCATTGACTTAACTGAAAATTGATTAATATTTAATGCACTGTAAGCATTGGCAAGGGAAGATGTGGTTTTACTCTGCTCATGGAATTGTCTCCAGCACCTGCAATAAGTGATTTAAGTCTTATAAAGCCAACTCAGTTGTAGAAGAGCATGTAGCCACTTCCATTGTTTGGCAGGAGCAAGAAATGCAAAAGAAAGAGATGCATAGGAGAGAAAAATGCAAAGAATGAATCATTTCTTTCCTTAAATATGCACCTTGCTAATTTTCTGGAAAGATCTTCAGCTTGCTCATGAAATTTATTGTAATGGATAGTTATATAGCTGTGCCATCTTGCTCTCTGAGTCAAATATGTGGCCCTTTGTCTCTTTGCCTAATTATCACACAAAATTCAATAGAGAAGTCTGATAATAACGTATTTGAATAAGTTGATGAACATGGAATTTAGTGATTATCATTATACCCTCTGTAGTCTGTCTTCTAACTTGTTTTTTATTTCTGTCGTCTTGATCTCGCGTTGATGAGAAATTGACTTTGCTACCCTTTTGACCTGCATACCCCTATCACAAGCCTTCCTTTTCTCATCTTCCAGCAACCCCATTCGCTTTTTCTCTGCTGCAGCACGCTTCTGGCGAATCGCTGAGCATACACGTTCCTTGTACTTGCTTTCTCGAGCCATTCTTCGTGATAATGATTGAGATGTCTTCTCCCTCAAGGTAGCCCTCCTTTGATGAGAGGCCTTAAGGATAAGCATCCTATTGGCCTCTGCCTGCTGAACGCGTGATGCCACTTTGTTACCCAACTCAGCCCGTTCTTCCCTGAACCGCATTTCTGCTCCCTTCTTTGCTGCTTGGCGTAACTCATCAAGCTTAGCCAGCCGCATCTGGGCTTTCGAAATAATGCTCATCCTTCAATTTAGAAAATAAATACAAAAAGGTCATAATAAGTTTATTTTATCAGTCCGACATGCCAAACAATGTATAAGCCTGTAAGAGATGACCACTTTAGACACAATAATATTGTAACATCTAATTCATACTTTGTATGTGTTGGCGAAATTCACCAAAAAGGGGTAACCTCAACACAAAGAAAATCTCCCATCCCAATATGGGTGATTCCAAATCATTTATGATAACACAACACAGAACTCTGAAAGGGGTAATCTCAACACAGAAAATCTCTCTCACAAAGAAAAAAAACTCACCTTTTCTTATGAGCAGCTTCAAGTTTCGCCTCGATTCGCTGGCCAAGGTCTTCTTCACAAGCCATGGATTGTGTTGGGCTTCTTGGCTTTGGCCTAGCTTTACTTGATAGGTGCTCATAAAACTTCTGTTCGACACCACAGTACAGCAACACACAGGATTTATGTTACAAACACTTCAACCATAGAAAACATTAAGAAACAAAATGAAGTGAAATTGAAGTCTTACAACAGCTAAAACTTAAAAAAATAAAATCTCGCACAATTTTTTTTATTTTAACATACCTTTTTCTTAAATATTTGAATCGTTCAATTCAGTTTTGATCATACTCTGACTATTTTGTTTTATTTATTAAAAAAAATCAGTTCTAATGCCTTTTTTACGGTTAGATGAAATTCAACGTCTTGGCCAGATTTATTTACCCAATTTTGAAAGTTAGGTGAAAGTTTAGTTTCGGGAGGGAGAGACCTGTCGACGAAGATCGGCTCCTCGAAGTCTGGCTTCGATCTCTTCAACAGTAGGCGGCGAAGCTTTCGGCTCCGACAGCTTCTGGCGAAGCCACGGCGGGATCGTCGGCGGCGACAGCGACTTCGCTCCATCGTCGGACACCGGAATCTCCATCGCTACTCCTCCAGGCACCACAACCATCTCCGGAGACTCCACTTCCATATCCATCGCCAATCAAAACGATCAAAAGTCGATGAACAAATCTTCAGTAACTGATCAACCTCTCAATCGATTCACAGTATGCACAAAAAAATTCAGGAAAAAATCAATAAATCGTTTCTTATTGGGATTGTTTTATATATCTATTCACATAGAAATCAATAAAGATTTTGAGGAAAATGAAAGGAAAAAGAAAAAAGATTTCTTTCTTTCTTTCTTTCTTTGGGTGAGAGTTTTGGTACACTTCTGAAAACTCCTTTTCCTTACGGCTTTTGCCTAATTATAGTTGGCTCTGAAAAGGCGCGTGCGCTGTACCGAAGCGTGATGGCGGTGGTTTTACTCATCGTGAAAGGACGCCACGTCACCGGTTGGGCCCGAAGGTAGTATTTGGACCGCCCCGGTTTGTAAATTCACTCGAACCGGATTCGCGGTTTTTAATGAAATGTGGGATTTATGGTGTTTGGGTCAAATGTGGGATTCAAAGATGGAGTGAAGAACTCGTATCTTGTCCGTACAACGGCCAATGAGCTTGGAAGTTGGAAGTATTGTTTTAAAAACCGAAATTTAATTTTAGTAATGTAGAATGTAATTTGGGAGGAATTCTCATTATATTGGAATCTCATATTATGGAATGATCCGGAAGCGATACAATCCTCTGTTCGTAAAATTGATGGCTCCTACTCCCCCACCCACCCTGACGCAAACACCTCACACTTCCTTCAATTGCACCTCTAATTTAATAATTTTGACTTTGGAGTCAAAATTGATTCCAAAGTCAAAATTAACTTGGGGTGCAATTGAAGGGGTGTGGGTGTGTTCGAGTTGGAGCGGGTTGGATGGTTTACTGGGTGATTAAGGAATATGAACTGTCAATTTTACGAACAGGGCACCGTAGCGTTCCTGAGTCATCCCATGACATAACGGAGCAATGTCACATGAACCGCCCCCATGTAATTTAATGGATTCTAGTTTAACACTTTTCAATTAAGACATATATTTCCATGGTTCTCAAATTCGTTCAAATTATATGGATCTTGCTAGTGTTCTTTAGTACTAACATTAGTATTATGATTTGGGAATTAGGGAGTTAAGATTAGGGGATTAGGGTTAGAATTAAAATTAAGTTTGGGGGATTAGAATTAAGATTATTGTTAGGAGATTAGGATTATAATAAGAATTAAAATTATGGTTATGAAATTAAGATTATGCACAATAGCCATGGAGAAACGAGTCTTTTTCCTCATTAACTTTTAAGCCCGGCCATTTTTGTGAGAAGATTCAGGAATTAGACGTGGAACTTGAGTGCCGAGATTTGTTAATATTCAGTGCATTTCAGTTTATCCGGGAGCCAAACTCCTTGATTTTCTCTTTTAAAAAAAATAAACACAAATTCTTATTAAGAGTATTCTCGTTCTTAAACATATAATTATACTTCTCTATGACTTAATTTATTTTAAATTCTATTTGTTTCGATGTTTGGATAAAATGAAAAAAAAAATTGTACTTTTCTAGTGCATATATATAAATTGTGCAAAAAAAGTATACAAATCAAGAGGTAATCAAACCACTTGTATTAAAAATCATCAATAAAAATATATAAATAAAGTAGATATAGCTTGACTAAATAAATATGGAGTAATAAATTGAAAAATCTCTTTTAAAAGGTTCGAGTTTTTTGTTGAATTTGTTTTTTGTCATGATATCAAAGCCTTATTATTGACTAAGATCTGTTCTTTTTTATTTGAAAAATCAACATGCAACTTTTTCAAGTCTTTCGGCTTCTTCCAATCTCTTATATATAGTTTTTCCGATTCCTTCTTCTTTTTACTCTTTCTATTCACTCTCTTTTAAAAAAATAAAACACATATAAACAAAAAAAATTTTACTCCATATTTTGTTGTTTAATGTAATATTTTTGTTGTTTAAAAAAAGTTTTAGTAATGTAATTATTTATTTAATGAATTATTTCGATTTAATTTGCAATATGGCATTACAACCCGGACGAGGAGGTGCTTACGCACGAAAAAATCGATGAAGAAAGGAAACGAAGAGTTAAAACTTTGTGGCATAGAGAGAAGATTTGAAACCCGATTTAAAGCCCTGGGACTTCAAGACCATTACCAGTATTATGACTTACATTAATTTGTCATTTTCTCTTCTAAAAATTGGCTGAAGTCAATGACATAAAATTTTAATGCTCCGTAATATTAGTAAGACTTTTACAACCATATATAGTATTTTCAGCAAACAGTACTCATTAAAATCAACTCAAAGTTGAATGTAGCTTCAAGGAAATTTGGATTAAAATACTCTCACATATGAACGATTTGATAAAAACACTATAAATCAAATAGTTCAAATGCCTCGGGTGGTTTAAAAACTTGGCACTAATAACTTTCTGTTTAGAAAAACTTTTTTCTAAAGTCTCCGTAGTTTCAAAGTGTTGCACCTACACTCCCTCTCATCATTTTCCGATCATTTTTCTGTGAAGATGGGGCATTGATGGCTATTTTCTAAACCATATGCGCACTCGTGCTCATTTCTTTTTTTTTGTTATTTGGTTTATTTCTCTTCTTTTAACTTTTTTATATTTGTTTCCTTTTTCCTAGAAAAGTTTTTAAAATTTCTTTTAAAATTCTTATAATGTTATAAAAATTTTAAATTTTTTGTGTTTGAAATAAAAAATAACATATACTTGATCTATCTCAAATTAAACATTTTCACTTTTTGTTTGCTAGAATAATTGTTTGGTAAGTTCAAAAAGAAAATTCAGAATAAAAAATAAAAATAAGGAAAAACGAAATAAAAAAATTGAAACATTCAAAAAAAATCGTATACAAAAGAAATTTTTGAAATGCCTAAAAAGTCTTTAGAATTGGGATGTCCAAAAAGGATATTCATTTTTATTTTTTTTATTTTATTTCTTAATCTATTCTTCATTTTTCACTTTTTATTTCAAAAAATAAATAAAAATTTTTAATTTAAGATGTACAAATGCAGCATATGTTAATTATTTTTTTCAGACAAAAATAATTTTAAATTTTAAGAACATTATAAAAAAATTAAAAAGAGATTTAGAAAACCTTGATTAATAAAAGAAAGAATAAAGGAAAAAAAGGGAACAACAGAAAATAAGAAATGAGTACGAATGCCCCCTATGATTTGAAAAATAGGTACTAATGCCCTGAAAAATGGACGAAAAATGAGCATAGAGGGTTTGGTTGCAATATTTTGAAACCACGATGACTTTAGATATAATTTTTGAAAACAAAGGGGATATTGATGCCTATTTTCCAAACAACGAGGATACTCATGCTATTTGGCCTAAATTATCGAATACAAAATTAACTACGGGGTATCAAAATTGGGAAATATATTTTTTAAATACTTGACATAGAGTTTTGGATGTCTGATTTTTTTGTTGTTGTGTGATAAAAATAAAAAAAGATTAATAGTATAATTGTTAATGGTGAGATACATTTGTTTTCGAGGATAAGATTGGACAAAGAAATTAGAGTATGGTGATACAAAGATTATTCATGAATTATAATTAAGGCAGCAATTAAGGAATTTTTGTAGTCTAACAATATTATATTGCTGGAATTTTTTTATTCCAACAATATTATATTATTCTTCAAACAAAATACTCCGTATATACTCCGTATTATTCAAATAATCTCGACCAACAAAAGTTGACTTTTTATTATTCACATGGTCAAATTCATTTACTTTCTTATTCTATTTTTGTTAGTCATTTGATAAAATAATACTCCGTATAATCATGTCACCACTAGTTTTGTAGATCTTTTAATCTAATTTTTAAATATCTAATTTTTATTTTTTAATCCTACATCGTTTTTCATATTAAATGATTTAAAAATAATTTCAGATAAACATCATCATAATTCAAAAGAGGCGATTTAAATCAGGCGAAAGAGAGTAATACTTACTGGAGGAGTATTAGATTTTTGAATAACTTTGCAAACTTTTTTTTGGAAAAAAATAATTTTGCAAACTTTAGTTCTTTGTATTTGTACAACTTTGTATACAAGTGGAAAATCAACTTAAAAGTGACATTTGGTGACATTTGACTATGCGTTTTGGTGCTTTTTATTTGTAGTGGAACACATACTCCCAATGTTTAAAAAAAAGTGATTTATGACTTAATTGTACGTTGGGGGCCTTGGGGCTAGGGCTCCCTCGTTAAGCTATTCGACTAGCTTAGAGCAGTGGCAATGGGCGTAACGCCCACCCACGTTATGCTCATTTGATACCTGAGGGGCATTAAACACTACTCCCCTCCTCCGTTATTCGGACGTTAAAACTCCCCCGTCATAGTTTTGACGCAATTTGAAGGTGTGATAGCGTCTCTTTCTTCTTTTTTCTCCTTCTTTTTTCCTCTTTTCTTCTCTATAAATTAAATTAATTTTTTTTTAAATTCAACACAAATACAAATTTCTCTATCATCTTTTTTTAAAAAAATTATTATTCAACTATTTTTTTATTTTTTCATGAATGTAATTTTTTATTTAATGAATGTAATTTTTTTATTTAATGAATGTAACTTTTTTATTTAATGAATGTAATTTTTTTATTTAATAAATATAATTTTTTATAATGAATACAATTTTTTTAATGAACTATTCTCGTTTCAATTATTTTAAATATTTAAATTTAATGAATTTTATTTTAGAAGATGTGTATTTAAAATGTAAAAAATGAAGGTTTGAAGCCCCAGTTTGAAGCCCCAGGGCTTCAAACCCATTTCCAGTGAAACTGTGAGTTAAGTTAAAGCTGATGTGGCAGAGAGAGAAGGTTTGAAGCCCCGGGGCTTCATGGGTATTTCCCGTGCCCTTAGTTTGGTAATTCAACTGGTGTCAAATAATTCTGATGAAATATTATAATGCACTTTTGAAGAAAAATATTCTCTTCATCTTGAGTTAATGTTTCATATTTTATTCAATATGACACATTAATAAAAAAAAAGTAAAATTATGAGGTTGAAATTTTTATATAGAAGAAAAAAATAAGCATATTATCATTGTGTCTCCATTGGAGTAGTAGACTTTCAACAATTTAAATCAAGAAAGAGGCACACCGCACACAATTTACTCACAATAGTCTTTATCTCCGCTCAATTAGTCGACTTTGAGCAATTTAAATCAAGAAAGAGGCAGACGATCCACACATCATAGTCTTTATCTCCGCTCGATTAGTAGACTTTCAGCAATTTAAATCAAGAAAGAGGCACACAATCCATGCATTAGA